CCTGATGAGCAGGATGATGAGCAGGTTGCCCAGCACCGTGGTCAGGTACATGCTCAGGAACAGGGTGAAGAACACGCCCTGCTGCCCTGGTGGGATGGGGAGCCCCAGGAGGAGGAACTGGGACACGCTGCTCTGGTTCTCAGGCCTCATGCTGCTCTTCTGTCTGCTGGGGATGAAGAAGGGTTGGGAGTCTCAGGCACCTAGAAAGGAGGAACAGAACCATCACATCTCATACTATCATTCTCTGGGAAACATATTCATTTTTAAATAGGTTCATATTTCCCACACCTATGGATTTATACATCTTCCCTCTCTCCCAGTCTGGCTCCAGGAAAACATTGAGCCTTAAAGTACTTTACAAGACCTCATCATACAGTAGCAAGAAGGGGTTCTCTGTTTTTATTCAACCATTACTTTTAATATCATGTCTGTGTCAGGATCTTTACTAAGGACTGGAATGCAGCAGTGAACAAGAAAGGTGCCTACTTCTAGGTGTTTACATCTTGATGAGCATGGAGGGATCATTTCTACACCAGGCCAGAGCCAAACCATAATCATTCACTGTGGCAGGAATAGAACATGAGCCCTGCACAGTGGTGTCATTTGTTTCTGCCTGAAAGTAATGTGAGACTCCAGTGCTCAGTGGGCATTGTTGGAGCATTGTCGGACTTCCTGCTCCCATTGACCCTCAGCTGTAACTCAGAGACACTCTGGAAATGGATGGCCATTGAAAGCCACTTGATACCAGAATATCTTCAAAACCAAAATTGCCCACCATGTATCTTTCAAAATAATGCTGAACATTTAGGTGAACATTTGGGTACCACCAGGCTTAGGACTTTACCTACATTTCCTAATCAAATCCACTCATCAGCCTTACATTCCCAGATTTTAAAACTTCTTCAAAGCTACTCTAGGGATTTGTATTCTTTGACCTATGGAAACATGAATGACACAAATTCTGTAGGCACACTGCAGTACAGCAGGGACAGAATGGCGCACAAATACTTGTGTGTATATTAGTATCTATAACATATCTGCTATGTAATGTTTATAACTATATATATATATATATATATATATATATATATATATATATATATATTTCCATTTTCTGTTAATTAAAAATCACCAACTATTAGCTACTTCATGGAGTTCAGGCTGATATGACTTTATGATCAGAAACTTCCCTTTTCTTGCTTAGGAGCCAAGCACAATATATTATTTTAGAGCTGTGAGGACCCAGAGTTGTCCAAAATGTTTTTATTCCCTTTACTAGATAACTTTATTCCTTCATGTTTATTTACTTTCCAATTGACAGAAAGTTCTCAAATACATTAAGTTCTATATATGCAATATCTATTTATGGAGAGGCTCTGCAAGATTCATCAAACTTGTGTCATTCTTTCCATTTCATAGATGTGAAAGTGAGGCCAATGTTTTGTATAACTTCCCCAAGGTCTCATCACTATATAATGGTAATTCTGCCAAATACCTTTACACATCATGATGCCTGCAGTTTATGGTTTGTTTGTATGTTTGTTTGTTTTTCTGGAATGTTTAGTAAAAATAAAAGGTTGGAAAATTCTGAGCAACTCAGTCACACTCAGGTACATAAAAATGATAGCAGATCTATTTCAAAAAACAGGGTGTTGCTCAGTATCTTAGGTAATGGTTCCCCAGAAGGAGGACACTTTAGGAAATACTATAGTCATAGATGCCTCTCTCTCTCTCTCTCTCTCTCTCTCTCTCTCTCTCTCTCTCTCTCTTTCTTTCTCTCTCTCGATTTGGGAATGTAAGTCACCACTGACCAAATTTCCATCCTAAAGGAAGAATAACCAATATGTACTTCAACTCATACACTCATATGCATACATATAAGTCATAATGAACACAAAGTTGGGCATACAATATACAATAATATACCTCTCACCCCAAAACACACTCATAATGCACATCAACACACCTGCTTCATGAGGCACCAGGTGAACACTAACCTCACCACATATACATAAACAATATACACAAACAGGATACACGATCCTATAAATGAGAGTATATTAATGAGCTTCCATCTATCTGATCTTCCCCTTGCTGGAGGAAGGCAGTCAGCATGGGTCAGTTAAGTCTATTCAGTTTACAGGCATAGTCATTAAACCACCACCAACACCCATGCATATGGTCACACACACATGGTCACATACACACAGAGAAAATCAATAACATAACTTTCAGCTCTCATACAAGAGAGTGTCACCCACAGGCACAGCTCACATGTGCACAACACACGGCTGAGCAGAGGTCTGAACTCTCTCTGAGCTGACCTTGGTTCCTTAAGTGGTCAGCATCATCTTATCCAGCAGCAGAGACAACAGACTCACTCCTGAAGGTCAGTTGTGGTGCCAGACATGCGTCAGGAGTCCCTAATCACAAGCCAGGAGGCTGATAACCTGGTCTATATACATTAAAATGAGACTGAGTGTCAGATTCATAACACACACACACACACACACACACACACACACACAACTATCAAACAACACATATACAAACATATTCAATGCATGCACACTCACCGTTATGGACACAGAGTCTCACACATGAAAACCCTAGCACGCAGGCAAATTTATCAGCAAGAGCATATTTATAGCTCCTCTCACCTGGGCTCATCATTGGTGAGTTCATACATCTTCTGCTTCAGAGTATTGCCCATCTCCTCAGGTTTTCTTCAGGACACTTCACATCCAGACACACAGAAGCAATATCTGGGGCCTTGGCACTTCTACAGACTTTCCTTTTCCTTAACCAGCTCCACAGAAATGAGTCCAATGATAACATTTAACTGCTAATGAGAGACTGCAAGCAAGTCCCCAAGCTTGTGGCTAATTTCTGACTGCCCTTTGGGGAGCTGAGTGTCCAAGAGTAGGAGGGACTGGATCCTGGGGAACAGTATGTCATGCCCTGGACTGCTTTGTTCTTGAGCATTGCTCCACTGGGAAGAAAGATTTTTCAACTTTTTAATTTGAAATGATTTTAAAGATGCAGAAAAGTTGTAATAGTGATATTAAGAATTCCTGGTCAATCTTCAGCCAATTCCATAATGGTTAACATTCTACTAAGTTTCCTACCTTCTCTGAGTGAATATTTATATATGTATATATGTTTGTATGTATATTTCAGGCTTAGATTTACAGCTGATATACCAGTGCCTATTATCAGAAGGAAGATGATAATGTTTCCAGAAGCTAGTGTTTTTATCCTTTTTAACAAATTTTCAAAAAAAAATTATTGTTGAAAGTATTACATATGTGCCCTTCCCCTCACCCCCATATTAACCCTTCTAGCCTGCCCCACTCCCTACAAAAGAACTTCACCATACTATTATCTGGACCCACTGATTATGCATACATGCATACAAGTTCTTCAGTTGATCTTTTCCACCTATGTCTGCCTTCCCTCTGAGATTCAACAATATGTTCCATGCTTCTATGTCGCTGGATCTATTTC